AGTGAGGGAACACACGACTTGATTGAATGTTTGAGAAAAGATCAACGAGAACTTATCATATAGAAATACGTGTGGCTGAAACTCAAATTCGGAACAAAAACTCAAACTCAGCGTACGAAGCGTTGGCAGCAAAGGAGTGGAGATTGAAAACGGAGTGATCAATAAACGAAATTATAAAAATAAATTTCATATGATATATTGATAAGAATCGCAGACATGAACTGCTAATGAAAATACATATATAGGGTTCGCTTGAGAATGCACATGAAATTGTTTGAAAGAATTTTATTCCAACAACGAATATAACAAATGAAAACAACAACGACAAAGACGATACAGTTACTCGCAGAGATTCTCGTTAGTACGAACACTGCTTCAAGTGTTCACAGAACATTTGCAGTAAGTGACTGAATAGTGAACAAACCGCTTGATTATTTCGGTGTTAGCGCATTCATAACATAAAATAATCACATGAATTGAACATACATAAACCTATGAGATCAGATTACAGTCTAATTTGTCTTATGTTTGTGCAATAATAAGGCATGAAATACTTTGTTTCTTTGCATCATAATCCAATAAATTCCTTCAAATTTGTTGAGAAACTTTCATTCTGCTTCCTCAGAGCGAAGAATATTAAATAAGTTAACATTAAATCAAATTTCGCCGAAGAATACTAAATAGCTTCCAAATCACAGCACTGTTTAACACAATTGAAAGTGCTTGCATAAGATGTTCAATTACACTGAATGAGTGCCATCAATGTTGGGTTTGCGTCGATGTTGTCAGCAATTGAATGTGATGCGTCAGTTTCGACGGGATGTTATCCTTTCTGGCGAGTACGAGTAACGGATCAACAATTTTACGCAGTGACGACTCGAAATCTGATGGAAGCGTTCCTCGACGAACTCGGATTACCGTCTGAATGAAACAAATTTTAAAAAACCAATCCGTGTCCGCCAAACGAACAAGAATTCGCTTAAATGATGTTGAAATCACAAAAATGCAATCACAATCTCTATTTGCTGATCGTTATCGATGAAAGCGAAATAACTGATCAACACTGAATTCCTCGCGAATAAAGTTGATAATGGCCAGCTGATCATAACAATTGAAATGCCACAATTCAAACACTTATTTTCTCTTACTGATGCAAATCGCTTCAGATTCTTTTTTTTCATTTTCAATAGATCCTCTTCCAAAAACCAACTCGAATTCAAATTCTCTATCAATTCTTCAATCGCGAACAAAAAACGAATTAGAACACAACTAACATTCGTCAATTTCGAAGTTATTTCCAACGCATCGTTGATGTATTGTCGTTTTTCGTCGGTGATCAACGCAACCAGAAATGGACAAATCGCACTCAATGCTTCTAAAACTCGTTCAGGTGAAGTGATCTTCAACCGATTCACATTCGACGAAAGTCCATCGGAAAATCCGAACAAGTGAGGTGGAGGGGTGAGATCAACTGGTGTGACACGAGCCAACTTTATGCTGAACGTAGCCGAGTGTAGTGGTCCCTCTCGTTTCGGTGCCTCATCTGCTGAGAAAACGTTCAAAAAAGCTTTGAGCGCATCGATTAGAAGCTGGAATTGCAAATATAACATTCAGATGAGAAACTGAAACAACGCTACCAGAAATACACAAATATGCAATTCAGATAATCTCCTATTCAGATAATGCAATTCTTGAAAAATCCATCAATAAATTCGAGTATTTTTTCCAAACTCTATTGGAAATCAAAGCATTACAACGAGTTGATCAAAAACCAATGATGGCTAATTGGAAAATCAATAGGAATAACAATATTTTAAATATGAACCTGTTTGTTGGATGGCTTACGATTGCCACTAATAAACTGTAGAAACGTATGAAAAAG